AGAATACTCAAGGAGTTGATCAAGGAGGTATACATCAGCCATTAGCCATCATGGTTGAAAAGTCATGGAAGATGGGAGATGCCAGAAGTCTGCAAAAGGGCATATATAGTGTCCATCTATAAAAAGGGAAATAAGAACAACCCAGGAAACAACAGACCAGTCAGTTTAACTTCTGTGCCATGAAAGATAATGGAGCAAATAATTAAGGAATCCATTTGCAAATTTCTGGACTATAATAAGGTGATAAGTAATAGCATGGATTTGTGAAGAACAAATCCTGTCTGACCAACCTGGTAGCTTTCTTTGATAGGATAGCAAGCCTTATGGATAAGGGGGAAGTAGTAGATATGGTATACCTAGACTTTAGTAAAGCATTTGATACAGTCTCGCATGATCGTCTTATAAATAAACTAGGGAAATATAACCTAGAAGGGGCTTCTATAAGCTGGGTTCATAACTGGTTGGATAATCATTCTCAGAGAGAATGGTTCACAGTCATGCTGGAAGGGCATAACAAGTGAGGTTCCGCAGAGGTCTGTTTTGGGACTGGTTCTGTTAAAATCTTCAGTGATTTAGATGATGACATAGCAAGTACACTTATAGAGTGGACAAATTATACCAAGCTGAGGGGGATTGCAAGTGCTTTCGAGGACAGGGTTGTAATTCAAAATGATCTGGACAAACTGGAGAAATGGTCTGAGATAAATAGGATGAAATTCAGAAAGGACAAATATAAAATATTCCACTTAAGAAGTAACAGTCAGTGCCACACACACAAAACGGGAAGTGTCTGTCAAGGAAGGAGTACTGCAAAAAGAGTTCAAGGGATAAGGGTGGACCAAAAGCTAAATATGAGGTAACAGCATGATACTGTTAAAAAAAAAATCATTCTGGGATCCATTAACAAGGAGAGCTGTAAGCAAGACAAGAGAAGGAATTATTCTGCTCTACTCCATGCTGATTAGAGTACTGTGTCCATTTCCGGGCACCACTTTTCAGGAAAGATGTGGACAATTTGAGAAGGTTCAGAGAAGAACAATAAAAATGATTAAAGGTCTAGAAAACATGAGGTATGAGGGAAGATTGAGAAAATTGGGTTGGTTTAGTCTGGGAAAGAGAAGACTGAGAGGGGACGTAACAGCTGTCAAGTACTTAAAAGGGGAGAGAAATTATTCTCCTGAATCTCTGATGACAGGACAAGAAGCAATGGGCTGAAATTGCAGCAAAGGAAGTTTAGGTTGGACATTAGGAAAAACTTCCTACCTGTCAGGGTGGTTAAGCACTAGGGATGTTAGCATGTAGCCATTTACACGATTAACCAATAAGCCTGGGATCATCAGTTAATCCTGACGGTTACATGGAACACGCCCCTTGCTGCCTCTTTATCAGAGGCAGCAAGGGGTCGAGGTGGGAGCTGATGCCCTTGCTGGGTCCCCACATGTGCTAGCTCCCGGAGCCACCTCTGTCCGTTAACAAATGTGTATTTTGTGTAAATGTCTTACACATGTTTACATGCAGGTGAGCAAGCAGGAGCCGGTGCTTGTAGGGAGATGGCTTTTAAGCAGAGCGTTAACGTTCTCATGTTAGTTTACCAAACTTCATTTAAAATAAAGGAAAATGAATTTGTCCAACAAAAAAGGTTTCAACATTGTTTTTATTTATGGCAGGGATGGGGCATCTTTTTTGGGTCGGGGCCACTGACCCGCAGGCAAATCAGTTGGGGACTACGCACGTGAGAAGCCAAAAAATCCCTGCAAAACCCCCAACCCTCACTGATGTGGCCCCCAACTGAGACACCTCACTCCCCTGGAGCTCCAGACCCATCAAGGGGGAAGGAGGGAAGGGACAGGGAGGACTGAAGTTCATGGCTTCCCACAGGCCACATTAACTCTTCTGGGGTTCTGGAGTTGGTGGATTTTGTGGAACCTCCCCCCCCCTAGGCTCTGGGGTGGGGCCAAAACTGAGGGGCTCAGTATGCAGGAAAGAGCTGTTAGCAAGTGGGATAGGGATCAGGATGGAGATGCAGGATCTGGGTGGAAGGTGAGGTGCAGGAAAGGGTGAGGGGGTGAGATCTGGTGGGTGGTGGGGTGCAGAAGCAGGTTGGGAGTAGGATGTCTGTCCGGGGGAGGGGAGGGTGCAAGATTGGGCTGGGGGTGTGGGGTCTCGGCAGGTGAGGAGTGTGTGAGGGGGATGGGGGTACAGCGTCTGGGCATGTGGGGGGACATATGCTTCCTTCCGCTCCCTGCACCATGTCCCAGGCATGGCCTCCTGCTGCTCCTGTTGGCCAGATTCCAGCCAATGGGAGCAGCAGGGAAAGCCTCCAGGCAGCGCATTCATGCTCTGCTGTTCCTCCAGCAGGGGAGTGAGAGCAACAGCTCGTTGAGCCATTTCTGACTCCACTTATCCTCCTTCCCCCACAGGCCGGAGCCCGCACTGGTGCTCCACTTAAGGGTGGGGCAAGGCTGGGTGGGACACCAGCACAGGCTCCCTGCTGCAGGGAGAAGGAAAGGGGTTGAGCTCAAGCTGCGGACCACCTGAGAACCATTGGTCTAGATCAGGGGTTCCCTACCTTTTTTGGTCCCCGTGCCCCCTTGGCTTTTAGTAAACCTTCCCGTACCCCCTATTCAATATGAAAGGAAATAAATTCTAGACTCTAGAACCCACAACTTTTTTCACGAACACGACTACTTTTGGAAAATTTCAATTAGGATAATCTAGTATTTACCAAATATTCCCCGTACCTCGACAAGCTTCTCGTGCCCCCTGGGGGTATGTGTACCCCAGGTTGGGACCCCCTGGTCTAGATGGTGTTTGGTGCTGCCTTGAGGGCAGGGGACTGGACTTGCTGACCTCTCAAGGTCCCTTCCAGTTGTCGTGTTCTAGGATTCGATGCGATAATAATCAACCCTCACTGCTGGATAATGGAAGACGAAGAAGCGGACGGAGTACACACAGTGGCTACCCACCGATTAGTTTGCGAAGCTGAACTATGAAAAAGGACTGGGTCTTCTCACAGAAGTCTCCTCGCTCAGCAACGAGGGCAACCGAGTCGAGCCCAGAAAAAAATGATGCTGCATTGAAAACAACTTCTCCTGAAATACATTTCTGTAGCCTGACTCAATAAGGTACAGAGTGCCTCCAGAGACGTGCCACCAGCTCCTAAACTAAATGGAGATTACTGGCAGGCCTGAGCCCTTCACCCCGGTTTCAACAAGCCATCCCTTCTCAGCAACGTGTGCAAGACCCCTTAAAGGAAAAGAGACTTGAGCATGTGCTTAAAATTAGGCACCTCCTTTAAGTTCATTGCTAAATGAATAGAGATGGCTGTCCGCAGATGTACTTTGTTGAACTGCAGCCGAGGCTGCAAAGCTGAATGTTAATAGACCTCACCTTGAGGGCAAAATGTTTGCTTTGTGTGGGGAAGAGCTTTTAAAATTCCTGAAAAGGGGGCTCAAATGGATTCCAGTGGAATGATGGAAAGATGTAAGATCCATGCTGTAAGATTAATGAAATAATTTGCTTCGGTGAGATATATTGAAAAGTTGGGTAACTGAATAGTTTCTTTTTAAAAACATTTGAAATTATAATCTACGTGAATGTAAATTCTCCCGTTTTAATATTTTGGTTGAACAGCGGACATTTTAGGAGGGCAGTTAACATATTGTAGACCTTCTAGGATTTTTGCCCACATTTAAGAGAAATATAAAATAACCTATTACACAACTCATCATATTTCTTTTACTGAAAAGGGTAACACCTGTTATAGCAGTAATGTAATGAAACTATCATCTTGCTCTTGAGTTAAGTTTATCTTTTCAGTTGTTCATTAGTCGATCTTATCAAAGAGAAGGGTTATATTTACTCCCTTACTTACCACTGGGGTCACTTGCTTGAGTGAGAATTTGCAGTGTCAGCCTAGACAGAGAAATGTGTAAAAGAGACAGTAAATTTTCTTTAAAGGACTATTCAGAGATTATTTGCAAAAATGTTTTCATATTTAGGATCTTTCCTTGGCATCCCTGTGATAGTGATTAGACTATTTCTTTTACATCCTTAGTTTTAAATCATTATTTTTAGGAGCTCTCTTTTTTTTTAAATGGAATGCTACAGGTGTATAAAATCTTGACATAACTGATTTAAGAATAAGCCCTGTTTTTACTGCCAGGAGGGGTTTCAAATGGCAAATTGACATTTGTTTATATTTCAACAGTCTGAACAGCCGTATGACAAATATCTCCCATTCAATCTTCCTTCTAAAAATCAACGGAAAGCTTTGTTTTGTGCTTATCACCGGATTGTTAATAGAACAGTTAATTCTCCTACATCGTTGCCCCCCATGCGATTATTTCACAGCACCCACACAATACACATGCTGCACACAAAAGATCAAAATGATTCCAGCTTGTTTGAGAGATTGAAAAGGGTTTGTGATGCTCTCTAGACACAAGATCAGTCACTTAACAGAGCAGAATTGCAACTGCATATGCATCAAGGTAGATCAAAGGCAGCTGAAAGGCTGCACATTTACATAGGGACATGGGTGATGCTATGGGAACCCAGTAGCTAAGTTCTAAGAAGACTTTTGGCGACAAGGGAAATAAGGAAATGTGGTGGGGATTGTGTGTGTTTGATTGTGTCTATTTTCTTTACCATCCTGTATTTTAAAAGCTGTAAAGGTTTTGCGCACAGTAGGGACATTCCGGGCCAGTTCCTTAGCTGAGTAAATCAGCATTGATTTCAATGCAGCAATTCTGGATTACCCCAGTTGAGAATATAGCCCTGAATGTCCTTACGGTGCACAAAACCTTTACAACTGAATGTCATTGCTGTGCATGAAACTTTGCCCCTGGTGTTCTAAAACATGTTGAGTCCTACTTGATTAATCAAAAAGAGAGAGATTCAGGTACAGAAGATACTGTCTTAGAAGCATTGACTTGACTCTAATCTTTTAATAGTTTTGTACCATCTTCTGAATATGTAAATATTGCTTTGTTTTGCAGGAACACCAGCAAAAGCAGAATAACCACTATAAAATCAAAAGGTAAGAAACAAAGATCATGCTATTTAGAAATGTCTTTCGCAATGTAATGGACAGGTATATGCGAACCAAAGTAATGAGTCTCCACCATAGATAAGAGGGAACATGATAAAACTATATACAGTAAACTTCCGATAATCCGGCACCTTTAGGACCCAGGGGGTGCCGGATTATCAAATATGCCAGACTATTGGAAGGGGGGGCTATGAGGGGTCTGGGATGGGGGGGCGGCGCTGTGGGACCAACCCGGCAGCACCCCAGCTGCTCTGCCCCAGGCGTCCCCAAGTCAGCTGCTGCTGAAACTGACCAGGAAGCCCGGGGCAGAGCAGCTCCAATTGTCCGGCTGCCTGGAGCGCTTCCGGGTTCCAGGTGGTGCCGGACTAGCAGGAGTGCCGGAACACTGGATGCTGGACAACTGGAGTTTTACTGTACAATTATCAGCAGTGTTGAGAAGATGGATCAGAAGCCTTTGTCCATCCTGTCCCATAGCAAAGGAACCAGAGGAGAGTCGGTGAAACTAAAAGGTGGCAAATTCAAAACCAGTAAAAAGAAATAATTGTAACAGACTGCACAATTTAGGGGCGGATCTCCTTGCCACAATATGTAGCTGAGGCAAGACTGAGAAAAGACTGGGCATTTCTATGGATAACAAGATGCCCGGAGTTAGAAAAGTGAATGCTAACAGGAGTATTCTCTCTCAGACCTTACGGTATCCATCAGTGCTAATTATTAGGGATTAGGAGGAGAGGTAATGGAAAGGGTGGATCACCCCACATCTGAAATGGTTTCTTGCATGTTCCTGTGAAGCATCTATTGCTGACCGTTGTCAGAGACAGTACCCTGAGCTAGATAGATCACAGATCGGATCCATCCGTGGCAATTCTCCTGTCCCTCGTTAGTTGCAATACTCTTGTTGCATAACAGGGAGCTAGCCCATTAAACCGAAGAGCATGGCCACGTGACATGTTCCACTTACAGACCCAATCAACTCCCCTTAAGCTAGTGACTCTGACCTTTCAAAGTGCTGGACATCTTCTTGTTCCTACTTAACGTCGCTCCTCTCATCTCTGCTGATATTCCACTTGTTCCGCTCAAGCCCCTGGTCCAGTGGCTCCCTTTGTATCTCTCGCTGCTTCTCCTATCTGTGCCTGCTTCAAAGAACAGGCTTCCCTCTGCTTGTGTGCGATTCGACCACCCTCGGCCTTCCAGTGCCTCTACATAGCCCCATTTCCCTCTGTAGCCTTTCAATCACAATCCACCATGCAGAACACTGAAAATAGTGAAAATCAACCCATGAATGAAACACACAAAAAATCTGCATAAACCCCCCCAAGAGATGCTGTAATAAATTAGTCAATTCAATTGATTTGTTCCGTACACGCAAACTTCGCTTCCTTTCCTTGCATCTCCTGATGTTTCCCCAATATTCTTCTCCACCCACCTCCGGCTGTTGTCTTTTGTCGTCTTGTGCTTTTGCTCTAATTCCTCTCATAAGTCTCTTAAAATAGGAGCTTGGCAATTTAAAAAAAGTTCTGAAGACATGAACTCTTAAGGAACTATAGAAATAAAAAGGGCCTTTACGGCTTTTGATCCAGGGAAGCTTTTTAGGATCCTGGGACTATGCAGGTTGAACGACTCATTGCAGTTCTAGGGGGAATGATCCTGTGTGCGTGCGTGCGTGTGTGTGTGTGAAATGCACCGCTCGTCATCCTGTGCTGTCTCTCCTGAGCAGCCCCAGACTGCTCCCGGCTTTTGGCAGCCGTCAGTGACGCCACTGAATATGCCCAAGTCTCTGCCCTGGACCCAGCTTCAAGATCGTCAGAATCCCAGACTTTGTACCGCTTAGCCTATCCCAAGGGTCACGCATCACCAGCGATGAAAAACAATCAACTTCCACGTGCCCGCTCACAAGTGAACATGTAAATCCGATTTGGGGGCATGTTGCATCGCCAGC